TATATATACTACACGCTAATAAAGAGCCACATATTGTACTGACTACTTTTATTTGATACATCTAGCTACTTTTAAGATTATACAATAAATAATAGGAATAATATATAATCAACCAAGTTTATAAAATCAGATATTGATCCCTTGGTGATAATCACAAGCTCAGCATTATGTAAAGAAAATAAAGCTTCTCCTTTACTGGCAGCAACTTTAAAGTAATTGGGTTTTGTTTTAACATCTAATTTATATGAAAAAATTCCCCAAGATGTGGTACATGCTACTACCTTTTCTCTAAGTGTGTGTGAGAACGGTAACATTGTGAACATAACTGAATCAGAGTGATTGTGGTTACCCTCCAGGATAAATGAAAGGGCTGCGCGGGCCTTTGGGAGCCAGTTGGCTGCGATTGGAGACCAGATGGAGCAGGAGTGGGCCGGCAGACGGACCCCCTGGCTGCCCCCTCCTCTCTACATGCTGAGACCTGCGCAGGCCCTGACCAGGACCATATACAGGTATAACGTCTGTTACGAAGAACATCTACTCCACCTCAACAGTTAAGTGACTGGCTGATAAAACGTTGGTGTTTTTCTCTTCCAGGGATATCCACAGGCAGTTGTGGGGTTTCCAGGGCCTGTCTGCAGGGGTGAAGGCCTGGATAGAGAGCACTGCGCCTGGGCAGGGGATCTTCAGAGTGGACGCCTGGGCAGCCTGGGTAAAACGTATTCTGTCGTATTTTATCTGTCTCAAGCGACCTTTTCTAATTGCACAAAATCAGGGTTTGTATGGTGTTTCAAGACTACAATTTAAGCAATATTAAGGTATAAAATATAAAAAGATTCCAATATTGACCAAACCTTTAAAACTCTGAACTAACCTTGTACAAAACATAATTGATATGCATGCACATTTTTCCCTTCACATTCAAAATGTCTTATCGCAATGCTATTTGAAACTTGGGGCCAAATTATCCAAATAATAGTATCATTTAATTTTCTTTCTTTTCACAGGTGTCCAATTTAAAACCAGTAGCCTGCGCTGGCTGGACCAGAGGAGCACTGGGGACGGTGGCGCTGGTGGCTGCAGTCATCATTTTCACTGCAATGTGGAAGGAATAAAAAGCCTTAAAAAAAAGGGCCATAAGCAGGTCTTTTGGGCCGTTATATCTTTGACAAAAAAAGTTTGCAAATGAATCACTATTATTACTTACTGATTTGTTTCTGCTGTTTACTTTGAATTCTCTTTTTTTGTATACTATTTTGATTGTATTGCATTTAAAATTATATGACCAGAAACAGGAGTAAAAAAAAAAAAAAAGAGTTAAATTAGTTGTGTGAAAATTGTTTAAATTGGTTTTACAGTGTTGCCCGAAGAGATGGCCAGCGTATTGTAGCAGTGACATGTTTCACAGATGTATTAATGTAAAAACTAATATTTGACCCATGAATGTACTGTTGCTGGCCTGCAGTCTTTATCCAGATTTGTTCTTACGGGGTTTAAGAGGCAACATTTTTTACAAATTATAAGCAGCCCGGCTTAATATAAAATGAAGGGAGCTGGACTTTCTGTGTCAGATTTGAACATGCTTTTTCATGTGATGCAAATAAACTTGTAAATGATGACATTTTGCAATTTCAATAATAAAAAATATTTAATTACATAATGATAATACACTTACAGTACAAGACCATACGAAGCAACCACAGGAGCTTACAGGTCTTTCTGTTGGTGTCCACACACACATTTTTTGACCTCCACACCTCTTCATATTTAGTCTTCTTCATGAATGGTGACGTCCACATTTTCATACGTTTTGAAGGCCTTCATGTTACACCTCTGTAGTGTGGCACCGAGCTGATTTCCTGGGCCGACCTCGTAGGTGTAAGGGAACTTCTTTCCGTGCGTCCTCTCGTAGATCTCGTGCAGCGTTTGCTCCCACTTCACCGGCGACACCAACTGCGTCACCAGCTGCCGGCGCACGTGTTTCTCGTTCATGTAGCGCTTTCCGTCCACGTTAGAGTACACGTTGATGTCGGGACGACGGACCTGAACGGGAGAGAAATATAGATGTTAGATGAAAAGGTGAGCTACTAAATTAAAAGTGTCGGCGAACAAATTGGCTAATGATGAGGTTACAAATGATCACATGACATGGAATGATGAAAATAATTCATCTTGAGGGGCAGAGGACGTCCTTTTTTATTTTCCACAATACAAATGGTAGGTGAATGATGTAGGTTTGTTAAAGTTTGAATTAACAGATAAACCTTTTGTCCATAAAATGTCATAAAAAGGAGAATATATCTATTTCGTTTACTATTAATGACAAGGAAACAAACACATATTTTGCACTTTAGCATGAATAATGACTAATATTAACATTGGATTATTCAAATCAAGTCCAGATTTATATTTTTGTTGATAGACTGATTCATTAATCGATTAATTGTCGCAGTAGTCGTGTTTTTTTTTTTAATGGGAAGTTGGGAACCACTACACAAGTAATTTTAACAAATTTCTTATTTACATTTCTTACATTTTGTAAATGGTTTATGTTGATGAAGTTTTCATTTAAAACTATACGAGGTTTATAATTTTGGAGCAGCTCTTCTATAAGTGGGTGACTTGAGGGTGGGTCATGGGTGCCACAATATATTTTTTGACAATACACTTTGAATACGGCTTCACTATGAAAAAACTAGGCAACATGAACTTCAATTACATGTTTATATAAAATGATTAAGATGTAGCTTAATAAAACCTGTGACTGACCTCCACCTGTCTGAGCACCTCTCTGAGCGGTTCAGTAGCCGACTCCATCAGCTCCGTGTGAAAGGCCCCGCTGACCGGGAGGGGTTTGGTCCTCATGAACTGGAGACGTCGAGAGTTTTGTTGCAGGAAATCCAGAGCCTGAGGAGAGAATACAGTTGTTATGATGAAATAGATTCAGAGCCTGTAAATTGTAAGCTCATCTAATCACACTTTTACACACATCAATATAACTGTACTTTAGATAAAACAACAAGGATTTGTGGTGAAAGTTGTCTCATCTGTTAATAGCTATATGTTGGATGGCTGCCATAATGCTCCATACCTGCTGGTGCCCTGCGATGACCCTGCCATCAGGGAACAGGTAGTTGGCCACAGAGCAGACGGGCTCCTCGATCCCCAGGCTCATGCAGTGCTCTTTAGCCTGCAGACAGGCGTGTTTATACTGAGCCTGAGATCTACCAACAACGGACAGCATCCCACTGGGAACCAGCTCTGATGCTCTCTGCATGGCCTCTGCACGAACCTTCACCACATACAGAGCTATAGGACAGGTTAATATAAAACATATTCATTTTTTAACTGAGCAACATAGTATTTGTGTGCAAGTTAGGAAACAAACTTACCTTCTGCAAAGTTCATGGCTCCAGAAAAAACCAGAGCAGCAAATTCTCCAACACTAAAACCTGCAGCAGCGACACACATCTCAATGGCCTGTGGACAAGTGTCAGAGGTTACTTAAAACAATGAAATAATATGTATTATTATAAATTAAATTACTCAACAGCATATTGAGTTGACCATTATCTCCACTGCTTCTCTACGTTTCAGAGGCAAATCTTTTTTTTGGTGGCATTTTCCCTCATATGATAGCACTAGCAGTTATGGAAAATAACCAAGTATATATTCAAGTATGGAACAGAAGTACAATTTTGATAAACTTTTACTTTACTTGATTAATTATATTTTTATGATACTGTATACCTTTACTCTAATAATTTATTGTGCACCCTATAAGATTACATTTCAAATAATACACATTTTAGTGGTATGATAAGAAATGCCCACTTTTACAAGCTGCAGCATTAAAGTGATTAGCACTATTGCATTCATAATTATAATCCTGTTATATATTACATATGGTTTTAAAATGGGGCATTCTGCATACATCGTACTTATATTGTATATATTTATATTTTACTCGGTAGTATTTCTGCTTATACTGCTGGTCAAAGGATTTTATGTTATTCGACTAATCGGACAGGCACCTTGGGGTTCTCGTGGTTGAGCCTCTCCACCGCAGCCAGCGAGGTGACGAACACGGCGGGCTGACAGTGCACCGTCCTCTGCAGCTCCTCCTCGGGGCCCTGCAGGCACAGAGACAGCAGGTCGTACCCGAGGATCTTCTGGGCCACCGTGAACATTTCCCTAACGTTAGGGTACTGCAGGAGTCCTCTACCCATGCCCACAAACTGGCTGCCCTGGCCGGGGAAGAGGAGCACGGAGCACTCGGCGGGGTCCTTCTTGGGTCTCCGCTGCTCCGGTGGCTCGCTGTCCGGGAGAGAAGCCGGGGTTTCGGGGTGTTTGGTGCAGAGTCTCCTGTTCACAGACACCAGACTGACCTTCCCTCTGGAGGCTGCTGACAGCCGAACACCCACTAAAGCCAGCATGGCGTCACCTGATTATGTCCTCACAGGTTAAGAAAGACCCATACTCTGTCTGGAAATCTATAATTTATTTAGCAAGAACTATTAAGTTTATTCCTTACAGTCAACATGGGACAGTCCTGACGGCCGCCATGTTAATTGACGTCACAAGGTTGATTTGTTCTTCTTCCGGTTCATCTCTATGTTCTTTCATCATACAGCGACACCTTCAGGTCATAATATGTCACGACTTTATATTCTAAAAACATTTACACTGACTTTCTATTATCTTCCCCTCAATAAATATCGGCTACAGTATTCTGACAACCAACAAGGTAAAACATTTTCAATCTGCGTTCAAAAATCCAAATATACAGAAACAGAGACAGAAAAGAGACACTTTTATTTAATTAAAAGTTAAATTTTATTAAAGATATCTTAGAGCGATTGTATGAATTAAAATGTGTTTCCAATGAAAATGAAAGAGTTAACAAAATGTTTTTTTTCCTCAAAACCTTATTGTACAAAACCGTATTTCTCAAGTGAGTCAATTGTGTTGTATTAAATCCTGTATCACGACATATTGTGTCATTATTCTCCATTTTAGTGTGCGTTTTAAAAATATAAATATAATACAATGCTTATGCGGATTATTTTCTTGTATTATAAATAGCTTTTCTCCTTCCAGTCTCCACTCTCGGTCTAATCCAGATGTTTAATCTGACAGGTGGGCGGCCTCCAGCTGCTCCTCCAGCATCTCGCTGCCTTCTGGCATCTTTCTTTTTTGATCGGCCCTCATTTTGTATTTAGAGATGAACTCATTACTGGCCAATGCTCCTTCCTTTTTTGGACACATGCTTTTTGATAAATTGCGATTATCCGTACGTCCTACGAAACAAAAACAAAAAACATTTTCATGACAAAGTTTGATCTTGTTCACAGATAAATTGGTCATTTAGGTCTGAAGTAGGATATATTTCAAGCACCCTTTCGGTGAGTTTGAAAATCTCATAAACGTGATAACAGTTTCAATCAAGGTTGGTGTTTTACCTCCGGGACTGATGGGTGTCATGAGGCGGTTCAGCTGGACGTTCCAGTGTTTTACATGTTGACTGGCATATCTCAGCTTCTCTTGTACCTCCTGGAATAGGAAAATCACAAAAAGTAGTTTATAATGCATGCTTTTTTATAGTTTTAAACGTGCTGCACATTGAGCTCCCACTCTTTCTTACCTCCAGGCGCTGGTGGCTCCTCTGGCGAGAAGCCTGCAGATCCTGGAGCTCCTGAGAGGCGGAGTGCAGAGCTGAGGGGGTGTCCTCGTCCGGGCTGCCGTCTGAGGCCTCCTGTATGGGGCTGAGGCACTTCAAGGCCCTCTGCTGCTCCTGCAGGTGCTGGAACTGCTTCTTCTTTGCGTCTTCTTCCCGTAGCACCCTGGAAAAGAGAAGGACCCAACTGAAATCAAGTAACCTCTCATGTCTGATATGTTTGGCTGGTAAGGATATATGTTTCAGTGAGACTTCTATCTTATGGGGATATAATTATCCAGTTGCAAAGAAATATCCTTAAATGCAGCCAGAAAGCATAGAAAACAGTGGCTCCTCAAACCTACAGAACCTGCCTGAGACTTTTTACATTCTTACGTTTTCCCGTAAACTTTAGGATTAAAGTAATCCAGAAATATTTGTCACTAAATCCATGGACCCTTCGCATTCAAGGACTACTAATAGCTCATTCGGTGTACTTTGAATACTGTATGAAAACAAATATAGGATGTGTTTTAACACTGCTACTTTATTCCTCAACGGCATTATACTTCCTGTTTATAATCCCCAAAGCTTTATGGGAAGAAGTCATTAAATTTAAGAGAAGAATTACAAATAAGAACTTTTAACAGTGTGTCTTCATGTTGAACTTAAATATTTAGTTGCATTAGAAAGGTTCATAATGTCTAATCAACATGGTGCTTATGTGACACTCTCCTTTATTGGTTCCTACTTTGCCCTGTGTGAAAACGCAGTGTGGGACTTCTGAAACATCTGGTTTAGAGAAGGCTATAATAGGAATACAGTTGGTGTTTGTTTATCACCTCTCCAGTTCCTGTCTGGCCCTCTCCTCCTCCAGCCGAGCGTGGATCTCCATGTTGAGAGCAGACTCCAGTTTCTGCTGAGTCAGCTCCAACTCCTGGATCCTCTTCTTCTGTTGCTCAGCCTCCTTTTCCTTCTCCTGCATCTCTGCCTGCATGCTTTCTCTCAGCTAGCACACACACACACACACACACACAACACACACACACACACCCACACACACACACCACACACCACACACAACACACACACACACAAACACACAGCACACACACACACACACACACACACCACACACGCCACACACACACACACACACACACACAACCACACACACACACACACACACACAACACACACACACACACACACACACACACACACACACACACACACACACACCAATATTGAGCAGAAATAACTGACCTTTTCCTGATTCACCTTTTCCATGAATCTCACCACATAAACTCGCTGAAGGTTAAGCCTGACATTTACATCGCCAATGTTTTGGTGCTCTTTTCAGAACTCTGAATTCAGCGAATCATAAATAAACGTTGACATCTGGAAAACTTTCTCTCACCGACTCGGCCTCCTTCAGCTGTCTCTCCAGCTCCATCTGCACCTCCTTCTGTTTCCTCCTCTCTTTTTCCTCGGCCTCCCTTCGTTTGGTTTCTAATTCACGCGCATGCTGCAAGACACAGATAAAGTTAAAGGTTCAAACAAAGCTATGAGTTATTGTCCCCCAGTTGCGTAAAGTAACTAAGTATATATATTAAAGTACTATACTAAAGTACAATTCTGAGCTACTTGAGTATTTGCCACTTTGAACTTCTACCCCACTACAATTCAGAGTTGAATTGTGGACTTTTACTCCACTAAATGTATTTTATACCTTTAGTTGCTTTGCAATTTCAGATTAATGTTAAACAATATAATCAACACTTAAATAAGACTTTAGTTTGGATTACCTTTGCATGCTACCCTGAAATGAATTAAATAATTAAAACTAGCTGCACTTTTACCAGCTTTATATATACACATTAATGCATCAATAATTATAATCAAAACATGTAATATGTCTTTTTCTTAAATCGGCCCTATCTGCATAAAGAGTAAAAAAAACGTTTTGGTACTTTAGTTATATTCAGATGCTAATACTTTTGTACTTTTACTTGGGTAACATTTTGAATAGAGGACTTTTACTTGTAACAGAGTATTCCTACATTCTGGTACTTCTACTTTTTCCCCCATTAAGTCATTCCTCCATTCTCACCTGTATGATACTTTCTATTTCTAAATCCTGTCTGTCTTTGTCTTTCTCCATCTTCTCCATCTCCTGGATGTTGGAGTCGTCTGATAGGCTGCTCAGGCTGCTGCCGCTGCTCCTGGCGCTCCGGCTGCGCTCCCGGTGGCTGTGTTCCCTCTGGACCCGCCGCTTCAGCTTCAGCACGAAGTGAAGAGAGGCCTTCGCCTCGCTCTGGAGACGGAGGGCTGTCTGAAGAGCTGGAGAAGGGGAAGGGAAAAAAGAAAAGACCCCCATTATTTTAATAAAGATGCATGGTACACAATATTATTTGTATATATTTAATTTTTTCCATTTATTTTATATTTAATTTATTTTTCCTGTTCATCTTTTTATTTTAGTTGTTTTTAATATTATTCTTTACTATATTTAACTTTCCTGTACATCTTTTAATGAAGTATTTTAATTTTATTCTGTCTTTTATTTATTTTTGAGTTTCTATGCACAAATTAAACTTTGACGATAGATCCAACACATAACACAGTGAGCACTTAAAATAAATAATTATAATAAAAGAAAACTGTGACATATGGGAAAACAATCGCTTTCTTGCAGTTAGATGAGAACATGGACACAACAGTCTGCACAGTTCAGACAGCAGCTGGATAGGAATGTTATCAATCTTTTCATATAACCACCCAAAATGCCAAACTATTCCTCTAAAATGTTCTTTAAAAAGCCAGTGAATAAATTAGAGCCCCCAGTGATCACACACACGATGAATCGCTGCAATCAAAATGTAATGACTGACTGTTTGCTAACACTTATAAACACCAACACACCTTGAGTCCACTCCACCTTCTGTCTCTGGTCGGACGCGCTCATCTCAAAGGTTTTAGTGTGAGTCTTCACACAGAACAAACAGCGCTTCCCCTCCCTGTCTGCAATAGTCTGAGACAGATTGAGGGTTAAAGGATTTCAGGACTTTGCCTGAACACATCCAAAGATACTGCACAATGAAACGTGCAGTGTTTACGCTATATTTCCTCACCCACCTCTATGACGCAGCTGTTATCCAGCTGGATCTCCCCTCTCTTATCTTTTAATGCCTCGCTGACGTAGTAAGCCATGGAGGAGGGCTTCAGCACAAACCAGCGTTCAGTCCAGTTCCGGCGTACATGGCCCTTTTTCCACATATAACCCTGGAAAACAAAGGACAGAGTTTTAGGAACACAAAACTGACTAGCTCGATGACAAACAGAAAAAGGAGGAAAATACTCACCCTTTTGAGAACATTGTGATACATCTCAAGAAAGACCTCGTTCAGAGCCAGACTGAAGGCCTCGGCGCTGGTGACCCTCAGCAGCCGGCCAGCAGCCATGTGCTCCAGGAAGGTCCATACAGACATATCACTCTCCTGCACCGGGGCATCCTGGGATATTAAGTCCTCCAGTGGCTTCCCGTCCCACTCCTGGCTCATAGCTGTGGAGATTTTCTTGAGGAGATACTCCACCTAAAAGCATTCAAATATTAGAATGAAATCGTTTGGTGTGTTGAGACTGGTCCAAACTTGCAAAGTGAAGCGATGTCGACTGAAACAATTTGTTTTTCTCAAATGTGTGATCTTAATCTCAGAGTTTTTTTCTCACACATGTATGACCTATAATCCGAGTATATTCTAACTTCACCATTTTAATCTCAGAGAATATCCAAGTTTTGACTGAATTCTTGTAAATTCATTTTTCTCCTCAAAATCCTACACCCCTTACCCGGGCTCTTAATTATCATGTGTATACTTCTTTACCTACACTATCCATAATACGCCCCTGTACATATCTTACCGATGTATTTCTGTGACTAAATGTACTTTTAAAGAGGAAAGCTACAGAGCTGATAAGACAAAAGCAGTTTATTTTGGTCTCTGTCGACAGGAAACCAAAAGCTTTATGGAGGAAGCGGCGGAAGGAAGAGACTCATTAACTTTCTAACTAGCACTTGCTTTTTTCTACTGTGAAAAGATGTGAATCATTCCGACTTCGTGGGACCACTAGCAGGGTTTATATGGAACATAATATGTACTTCTAGTAGTTAGGAGATCACATTGAAAAAGGCTCATGCGACTCCCTTAAAGCCTTTGTTGTTGCCTTGCGATATGTTGCCTTGCGATATGTTGCCTTGCGATATGTTACCTTGCGAAACTTGATTTGCCTTATGAATGTTAAGGAAGGAATTCCTGCACTTTATTTATTTATTTAGTGGGAATGCTGTTAACAGCATTCCAACTAACTGTTCTTCTACGCACGAAAAGTTTATTATTCCGCCGACTTATTTTGACGCGCTTCTTCTCCCGCATTGAACATCGCAGAAACTCCGTTCAAACATCAAAACGTTCAGCTCGGTCGGGAATCGATGGCTATTACTTTTCTCATTCATAGCTTTCATAATTCCAGAGATACATCCCATAATTCATCACATTTTTAACATTTGAACTTTAACATTGCGCAGCTCGTTAAGGCAGAGTGCGTGATGTCAGAGTTAGAGTGGAGGAGAGTTTGAAATTTGCCTTCATATATTTTTTTTAAACTGCCATAATTCCCAAACCCTACATTCCTGAGACATAATGTTTCATGACAAACGTAGGAAAACATCCCGTAGCTGGAAAAATGACAAATAATTAAGCAAATTAATTAAACAAGATGCTTTTTGAGGGCATGAAGTGACAAAAACGTTCAACATTCCTCCATTAAAGCCCATTGTAATTTCAGGCTGATATTTCCTCACGGCAGCAGCTGCACACCTTTAGTTAAACTGCCAAAAAGACCACATTATTAACCTGAAACTACACAAAAATTACACTTCAGATACTCAACTTCCATGCTTCACGTTTTCAAATTTCACAGATATCTGTTACGGTTCTTCCACAAAACGCTCACATGTAAGCGGTTCATCTCTCATTCAGAACAATGAAGCCTTTGAAGTCCAGGCACCTCGTTAGCTCAACTATAAACACCTGTGCAATGGAACACGATGATGTCATCACTCCAACTGACATGCTCAGAGCAGCAGACTTCAGATAGCAGTGTGCAAACAGTCCAGCCGTGAAGACATCTACAGGACAGTTTTGAGATTTCTTCAAATGCCGTTGCCATGGCAACACAATGCTCGCCTTGAAACACGGTTTTCTCATAACTTCAGTGAAAATACTCCAAACAGCCCAGAACTTCACAGGTTTGGTAACAATGCAGCCATCAACGCATCTAAGCGTATTATGAGGTGTCATCAAATGCCGTTGCCATGGCGACAGATCATTCGCCATCAAGTTAGTTCAGAAGTTTGCGGTTCAAATATTCTGCTGCTATTTCTAGTCCTTTCACTTTCTTTCTTCTCTCGTCACAAATTCAAGCCCCCATTGTTGTATGTATCATTTCAATTTCAATTATTCCCTTTTTTCTTACACATTACATTTCAACAGTTTAGCGTCAGATTTTCAGCATAAAGCATTCCCACTAGCAATTTCTTCAGGAATTGCATTCTCTAGTTTTCTTTTGCTGAACAATGCCAAAATGCATTTTATACTGGGAGGCGTGAAAACTCCAAAATATAATTATGATAGACTTGAGTCACACTTGCTGTTGACTCCTACCGCAAATTCCTGTTTCATCGTCAACAGCTTTACCTCCTCAGGTATCATCACCAGTGGGTAGCGGTCTTCAGACAACAGGTTGAATAAACAGAAGAGCTTGAAACAGTCTCTTTCCGATAGCATCGCCCCCTGTGGTAACCCTCTGAAGTTCTTCTTCATGGTCATCATCCAGCACAGGTCGTCAAACTTCTCCTTGTCGAACATCCCCTCTTTGACCTGAAAACATAGAAAAGAGACTTGTTTAACTGCTCTTAATTGGAAAACTGTGGACCAAGAATGCCAATGTGGATTAAAGAAAATGCATCACAATGTCAATGGAAAAGATACGGCATATCAAATGTTTTTGAGGAAATGTGGAGACCTTTAAAGGTCCCCTAATTGACTCTTCTTCAACAATCTATTATAGGTCTCAGATATATACAAAACATGTCTCTGAAGTGTTTGGCTTGAAATACCAAACAGATCACGCATTGCTGCATGCCATAAACCCCTCTGTTTCAGCCCTGTTTTAAAAGTGCTGATTCTGTGTCTGTAGCTTTAAATGAAAAAGATATACCCAACTCAAACGCCCCCTCTGTTTAAAAAAACATAATGGTACTCTAGCAGGAGATTCAGGTGATAAGGTGGGCGGGTGTTACCTTGGTTGGTTATTGGCTAACAACCCAAAAAAACATTGTGACATCACAAAGTGGCCAAAATCGAATAAGCTGATTTTTTCGGACAGGTTTCTATATAGCTGGATCAGGACAAAAAGAGAGAGAATCTTTGATCCTGAAACTTTCCGAATATCTTAACACATGGTTATGACTAAAAGACATAAAAGTGGATTTTGCACAATAGGTGACCATTCANATGTGCGTTGAAGTCTCCCAGCAAGATTAAAGAGTTCCCTTCAGGAGCCCCATACAGGACTCTTTCCAGGGTCTCCAAGAAGGCCGTATACTCTGAACTGCTGTTGGGTGCATAAGCACACACAACAGTCAGAGTTTTCCCCCCCATAACCCGCAGGCGTAGGGAGGCGGGCCTCTCGTCCACTGGGGTAAACTCCAACAACGAAGCACCCAACCGGGGACTTGTGAGTATAGAGACCCCCTTCTGGGCCTGGCTCCCTGAAGGCCTCCTTCTTCAGTCGGACGGCCTCCCTGACCACCGGTGTCCACCAGGATGTTCGAGGGTTACCGCCCCTTGAGGCACCTAGGACCTTGAGACCACAGCTCCCCGCCGCGACTTCGGCAATAGAGGCTTTGAACACCGACCACTCTGGTTCAATGTCCCCAACCTCCACAGGAATGCCCGAAAAGCTCCGCCGGAGGTGTGAGTTGAAGGCCTCCTGAACTTGGGCCTCCTCCAGAGGTTCCCAGTTCACCCGAACTACACGTTTGGGCTTACCAGGTCTATCCAGAGGCTTCCCCCGCCAACCCTACCAGGAACACAAGGTTCCAGACAACACAGCCCCTAGGTTCATCAGGGCACACAAACCTCTCTACCACAGTAAGGTGCTGGTTCTTCAGAGATGGTCTATTATGTGTTAACAAAAGCATTTATTTTCTTACAACAGAAAAGCAGAAATGTTTACACCCGAAATTGACAAAGAGAAAAAGAAACTTTAAAAACATAGTGGAAGTTGATCAGGTGCTATCACATGATTTTTCTCCTTTTCTGAGACCAGGCAGACTGCAAAAGTCTTCTTTCTTACTGTGTCACTAGTCCCACAAAACCAGACAGAAAAGGCCTTTTCAATCCATTATTATTAAGGTTGCTGCCAACTCAGGCCCTGCCAAGCTTTTATAGCCGCATCAACAAAAAAAGCACTGAACTGGCTGCACTTGGATTGTGTTTTCTAAGTCTAAGATTCTTTGGAAACTGCTTTTCATTTTGTGTGGAATTGTATTTTTGATACATTTATTGTTCCTGACAATATTATGCCTACATTATATATATTCCTAATCACACAGTAAGTCTGAAGTTTAGATTAATTATTTCAATTTTTGTGTCTGAATCTGAGTAGCACCCTGGAACAGCTATGTTGGCTAACTGCAGAGAGATCTACAACCGTAACAACTTGGACAGCTTTTTATTCCTCAGCTAACATTACCACTGTGTCCCTAAGTGAACTTGTCTTTTGGAACCCAGCCAAAAGCTATACATATTCTCAGAGTGTGAAAAACCACCTCCACACACTCCTTCACCACCAAAGAAATACAGTTTATCATATATTCAAGTAAAAATACTCTATTTAAAGTTAAATTTATGCATTTAAAATCCTAATTAAGTAACACCACAGAAAAGTGTACTTCATGTATGAAAAGTGCTGCAGGAAATAGCAGTATAAATCATTATATATAAATGTTTGGATTATTAATACCGGGTATCAAAAAAATATAAGTAGCAAAAAGTGGGTCAAAGGGGAATAGATACATATATTACATGAAGTTAGCTATTATAGCTTGTCAACTAAATACAGTGGGGTTAACTTATTCACAAGGCAAATTATTATTATTATTGTAGTAAAATCACTGATCATGTGAATATAATATTTTATATATAATATAAACATTTGACATAATTATAATTTTAAACTTTTGATAGTTTAGGTGCATTTTTTTTGATCAAAGTATTGTTTGGGTTGCTTTTAGATGTAAATAGGCTACTGTACATTTTGACAGCTGTGAATACTTCCTTATTGTTGGTGATTACTAACACTGACATAGCCTACGTGTAGCTTTTCACAGGAATAGAGAGATGATAGATAGAGGAAGTGAAGTGCTGTGAGATCGGTGCTTTTATTTGCAGACCGTCCAACAGGAGGTCATTTTGGAGGAAGAAGTTACTGTACACTGTAGCCTATATCGGTTTATTGGCCAATCTCATTCTTATTAACACACGACCATGTGACTTTCGATAACTTCATCAGACCTCACAGGAACAACACCCGCAGCTGACAGACCACTGATCCTGGACCAGTATTTAAAGTGGACTTTTTTTTATTGTATGGCACTGTTTTATCCTTCTCATCTGGGAGCTCCGCGATGTTTTGGTTCACACAAGGACTCTGCTTTCTGCCAGCGTTTCTGGTCATCTGGTCCTCCAGCACTTTCATCGTTACCTACATTATTGCGCTTTTCAGGCGTGATGTCGACATCATCTTCCCATACATAAGGTACGTTTAATCATATATCTTTTTAGAAGTTGTTATTTTTGCATTTTTAACAAGATAAAGGCATATTTTTAGTGATTTTTGAGAACCAGGCATGAGCAAAGTTAGGTTTCGTTTTCCAACTTGGCTGGTACCCAGACTCCACACAGGAAATATTGGTGAGTATTTTTTCCAGAGTAATTACTATTTTGCTCTGAAATAGGGATATTTAATCATTTTGGAGTGTATTTATTACTCAGATTCTAGAGTGCGATCAAAAATGCAGAGTCAATTCTATTGGAGTTAAACCATGACCACGCTGTAACGGAGGTGATCTCTGGGGCCATAGATCTCGGTCTCTTATATTATATAGCTTCATTATTGGCGAAGTATATTACTTTGTTCCACGCTAAAACATTGCACAGGAAGCATGTGAATCTATGTCCTTTATGCATCTATTTGTCACGATCTGTCTATGTTTTAGTTTGTCTGTCTCTGTTTCCTGTTGTAGTTTGAAAAGTGTTCCGCCTCCCGTCTTGTCTGTTGCTGTTAATTGTGTTCACCTGGTGCCCTGTGTTGTCGCCTCCCTCCTCACCTGTGTCTTGTTGGTTTGATTAGTCCTGTGTGTATTTAGGTTCTGTTTTCCTGTTAGTGTGTGAGGTCCTTGTTTCTGGTGACTGTGTTCACGTGAGACAGTCATATTGAGGCTGTGTATCATGAACCACAGCGATGAATATGATGAAATGGGGGACCCTGATGTAAACAAGACGAAAGTCTTTCTCTGGTCTGCATCCCCTTAACAATTGTATGTTTTTAGCTGAACTGTACTGTACCCAATAGCCTATACAAGCTGTTAATAAACTTTTCAATCAATCAATCAATGAATAAATGCCCACACCGGGTTGTATTTGAACTCTCTGCCTCTGCCTCCTTGCTTGGTCGGGCCGCTCAATGGTCATTGGTCAGCTTCACACATGCCCACTCATGTTCCTTAAGCACTTTGGTTTATTGACCTTTTTTATTATGAAGATCATTATGGTTCATTTATTCTATTCTGAGTAAAATTACCTTCTATTGGAGTAAAATTACCTTCTAGTTGGAGTAAAATTACCTTCTAGTTGGAGTAAAATGGCAGTAGAGTTGTTTTTAATATACACTAGAGTAAATAACCATTGAGCAGAGTCAAATCTAAGCACATAATAGAGTAAAATGAACTCTAAAAATACAACTCTGAACAAAGAGTACATTTTACTCTATATAGGTTGGGACCAAATGTTATATTTTTAGAGTAACATTTTCTTCTATTTGAGTCAATTTTACTCAGAGAAATGTACTGTGCAGCTGCACGCACACGGCACACGTCTTAATGAATGCTCTTCTTTTCACTTCTCCCTCTAAAGTGAGTCTGTTATTTTAAGAAGAAGGTTGAAATGTCTCAAAAATACAAACATAATCAAGTCACAAATAACAAGAAGTTATGCTTTACTATGAGCACATGTCTGTAATGTGAGGGCAACAATGAAGAGCTCTCTTCTCCCTTTTCAGTGACACAGGTGCTTACCCTCCAGAGAGCTGCATTTTCGGCCTGATGACATTCATTTCTGCATGTGCAGGTATGAAAATCTGAAATGTCACCTCTTTAACTTGTTTGTCATTTGTGCAAACTTGTGCTTTCCCAAGGGAGGAACCAAGATTTTCAACCATTTTATTCTCATTTCCTCTTTAGCAGAAAATGAAAGCAGAAATTTGTCTTTTTGTTGGGATGCAAGAGTCATGTGTTAAATGCCCTATTTTACCTTCACCCAGGAATAGCTACCATATATGCCAGGTACAAGTTTGTGGAGAAGCTGAGTGGGGACACCAGGGTGGTGAGCCCCCGCCTCAATTACACAGCACTGGTGTTTGGGCTGCTCTCCTGTTTAGGCATGTGTATTGTTGCAACATTCCAGGTATGTCTACTTATGCAGGGCACATCTTAACTACATGAAAATAAATAACATTTGTAATGTATCGATCTTATTTTATGTTGCAGGAAACAGCTGTGACGTGCGTTCATGATATAGGAGCTCTGATGTTCTTTGTGCCTGGTATATTATACATAATACTCCAGTCGGTTATATCTTATCGTGCCTTTCCATATGGGTGCTCCATATTTGTGTGTCGAGCACGCTTGTTTATCGCCATCCTTGCCGCTTTGGCGTTCTTTCCCAGTATCCTTTCACAGAAGCTTGATGTGTTATAATACACAAAGAGTCGGTTTGCTTTGGTTTTCGGATCTACTAAGCAACATGCATTTAACCAGGAACTTCCCTTTATGGCTGAATTATTCTCTTGTTTTTCTTGTAAAGACTTGAACAGTAAATGCACACAATAATAAGTGTCAACCATGTATTTGCAATTTTCCTTGATGGATAATTCAGCTGCCATCTGTGCGTACTTTGTGAAGCAAACCACACTGCACAGAGGCAAAGACGACGAGGTAGGCTGTCTAATTTCACTTTATCCATCGATGTAAGTTAATACTTAATAGACACATAATAAAAAACTATTTTTATAATTGATTAATGTTTCACAAATGCCAAACTTTTCTTTGTTCCAGATATGTGTTACCATGATTGTGGAATAGCACCAAATCTGTGTTAATGAGAACAATTCACATCCAAATTAAATTACAAATTGGTATGATGTTGATCTTAAGTGAATTCAGGGACACAGCTACTCACTATACAATCTGCTGACTACTGTGTACAAATCTCCCAATCGTATAAGTCAGTTGTAATACCTTAATGTAGTTTGTAAGCTAGAAGTAAAAAAAGTAGGCTTAAAGAAGAAAAACTCTATTTAAAGATTCCACAGTAAGACATCATTTTGGGAATGTTCTACAATGTCTCTACATTTCTAGCAAAAACATATTTATCCATTAATCGATAAAATATTTGCCAGACTAATTCATAATGTATATCTGTCTTTCAGGACTATCCCTACCATGTAGCCAGCGCCTCGTGTGAGTGGGTTTGTGCTTTCAGTTTCATCTGCTTCTTCCTCACATACATCGACGATTTCAAAGTGAGTATCTCACCATCAAAAATAAACTCTTATTTTTAATCTACAGCTGAAAAGAGTTATTATTTCTCTCCTTTTTTATTCCCCACAGCTGTTTACCTTACGAGTGAAAACAGAAGATGTGGAGTATTCTCAATGATTCTTCAACTGCCAACAAACTTTGTATTGACTGTACATCAGTATTATCAACATGTGATGCATTTATTTTTATACACTTTTAAACACATACTTTTTGTAAAGAAAAGAAAGATATCAGTGACTGTACCCTTACACTTTTTAATCGAGCACAAATCATATACGTTTACTTAACTTTGCACTTTGCTCTTGACTGTTGCCTCACACGTTTGTTCAGACCTGTGACCAGTAACAAAGGAAGTTCCCCCCCCCCCTCACAGTGAGCGCATGACAGCTGCACATGTGGTTTAATAAGTATACAACTCAAACTAATGACGGTCTGTGAGAGTGGTGGCTCATGATTTCTGGGAAAACAGTCAGAGCTACACTGAAACCGTTACTGAAACCTGTCTGAAATATTACTTCAAATGGGATTATTAATCAAATGTTGCCCGTATTTTTTTTTAACCAAAATTGTATAATATATATTTAATGTTTTTCCAATTGTGTTTTCTTTGGAACACAATACTTATTTGTGACAGATTAGGTTAAAAAAACTGCTCCAATTCAGAGTTTTGTTCACTTACTCTATGCTGCTCATATATTTAATGGTTTCCATTGATACTGCTATTGGGTTCAGCAGTGCAGCTATGGAGGAGTTTTGGCATATACAGCCTGCAGAAGGTCATACACTGAAATTATACTAAATAAATTATTTTTCTCAGTACAACTGCCAAGTTAAATTGCCGTAATACAATAAACCGGAATTGAAGCTAATTCAAATCAAGAACAAGTATGCAGTGGGCTCTCAGGCAGATAATAAAGCCTGTTTCTCTGCCTCAAAGCTTGAGTTAGAAGCAGTTATACACACAGGATTTCCACACTTCATTTGGATAACAGAAATATCTATGTTTTTATCTTTGGAGTAACAGAAAATATCTATGTTTTTATCTCTTTAAATTCTCCCCTCTTTTTGGTCAAACTCCAGGATGGGAACCAGTTTCTCACAGCCTACTGCCAATACCATTGCTTTCATTTTTTGTATTGGCGCAAAAATGATAAGATAAGATATCACAATTGAGTCAGCTGATATATTTCCATGGCCATTATTCATGGGGCATCGTTTTATAGATCATGCCTATAATTGGTGATTAATAGGAGAGAGAAAATCCTTTGCTGTAATAGTGGTCACATAATGACACTGATTGTTAACTCGTCCACAACAGATACTGTTTTTTTATTCAATGACTTTCTATGTGTACTGGTTTGCTTATGACATTATGATATGAAAAATAAATATATATTTTTCAAGCAGACTGTCAGTTTATTACAGATCCAAACTTTGTGCACAAGTGCTTTCCAGAGTTCTCCAATCTCAACTCTTCACAGTCAATATAGCAGAAACAGACAATATGTTAATATAAATAATGTATTGTCTTTCAAGGGTGATAGATAAGACACATAAGGCAGCTTCTGAAAGTATGCAGATTAACTTTTTTATTTAATTAAGTTTGCAACTAATACCATCATTTTGCTTCGACATAGCTGAATGATAATTGATGGCTAGAAAAGATGAAATGATATCCATCTTATTTCTTTTATTGAATAAAGTGATCAGAGATTTTCTCCATTTAAACAGGATTATTGTTCTGAAATCTTTTTTTATAGACGTGTCTACCTCGCCTGAACACACAGACTTACAATCTGAGTTTTGACGTTTCCAACACGTTTTTTTAATAACTTTCACCAGATAGTTGTATCTCTTAAAAGGCATTTGTCTGTAAAAGTAGTGACCACAAAAACATGTTAACATTTACAATATATAATTACTTTTTGTACAAAAATGACTTGCTACTGCAATATTCTGAGGTCTAGTGCTAACAACAGGGAAAAACCTTCCATCTTTGTGAATACAACAAAATAGCGGATGTCACTGACCAACCTTAAGGAAACTATTTCAGTAATTTAAAACCAAAAGTACAATCTCTCTGGTTTCCAGGTTCAGGCACCTATTTTGCAGCTTCTCATTGCTACTCATGCACAGGATCACTGTGATCTACATTTCTCTCTCAGTGCAGGCAGGCCTCCAGGAGCTCAGAGCAGTGATGGTGAGCCTGTACAGGACGCGTTATCGGTGATGGGCACAGAGGTCAGAGGTCAGTCGCTGAAAGATGATTCACTGTCAGAGCCGGTGGCAGAAACATCTTGATCCTCTATGCTCCTCGCTCCTTCATCCGGCAGGGGGGCATCTGGTGTGCTGTCATCAGCAGGGAGGAAATGTTACCGGTCAGTTTCATAAAAGGAGATATGAATATGAGATCATTACCAGTAACAGTGACACACTCACTCAAGCAAGTTAGAATCCAATCCCTCCAGGACCATTTTATTCTTTATAGCCATAACTGGAACTCCCTGCGACAAATAAAACATGTATGAAGATGCAAAGCAAACAGAATGTTTTTTAATCACTATAGTTCATTAGCAGGTTTTAGTGATGACTTACCACTTGAACCATTTTCAGGTATCGGGCATAACGCGGGTCCTTAGCCACAGTCATGACATTCTCTGCGGCTGCTTCGACTTGAGGTGGCGTTGCAGGCTCTGGTGCTGTCTGAGCAGCCTGCGAAATCTAAAAAATATTTACAAGTGACTACAGGATATCAAATTAACTACTTTATTATGCATTGTTAGTAGGCAGTGCTCAGTTTTAGACTTGCAGAGTTTGTACTTTGTTTGCATCCTTTATGGAATAGTAAGTATATAGTTAGTACATATTAGGTATAATAGTATAGTACAACATTTTGAAATGTGCTTACTTTGCAGAGAGTTGGGTGAGAAGAGAGTTGTGTCTGTATGCTCAGTATGAAAACACAGCTGCAGCTGATTAGCTTAGCTTATCATAAAGAATGAAAACAGAGGAAAACAATTGGCCTGGCTCAGTCGGAAAAATTCAAAAACTTTTGTCTTATTTCACAGTTTGTGGGTTGGTCAGCACTCTAGTCACAGAACTGTATTTGGACAAGCCATGACAATTTAAGTTTCTCTCATATATCCCCTTGAAACAAACATATATTATGTATTGTGCTCGTATGTGTGCAGTTGGACAGAGCTAGAGTAGCCATTTTCCCTCAGATACAATCTCAAATTATTCATTTTAAGTTAAAACACCCATTTGGCAGATTTTTTATACTCATTTGTATTCACCTCTGGGGAAAGAAGACTGCCTGCTGGTGGACCCCCTGTTTGACTCTGAGTGGCGGTAGAGGGTCCATTGGCCGGTCCATTGGCCTGTCCATTGGCCTGGGCAGGTTGCCGCTGACTGAGTCCTTCCATTGTGACGTCCTCCAGCCCGGGAATGGAGGACAGCTTCACAGAGCAATTCAAAATGTAAGATATGATAAATTGAAGGACATGACACGTATAAAAAGTGTCTCAATCAATAGAGGGGATGGAACTTACTTTGGCTTCTAAAATGGACAGGGTTGTTTCAATCTGCTGAATGCGAAGAGATATGTTTGCAAGTTTCTGTGGGAAAGAAGTTAGACAGTTTGGGTTATGGTGTGTCACAGAGGCTGCTTGTGTGAACTAATCAGGACAGCAGAAACCGGTTAAAGGATCAGTTTAGAGTACAGGAAGCATACAAACCTCTTCACAAACTGTGGAGAAACGGTTAAGAAACCGGACCGTGTGCACAACAAACTGATTGAGGTAGGCAACAACTCTTCTCTGTTGAATAGCAGGGACCTAAAGGAAACACAGAGAAAGCTATTTTAAGAAAGAGTCCGGGTTGTGAGGAAATAGGTTATTATACTTACAGGTCATTCCTTACCAACTCACCACCAATATGTAAAAATGGAACACTAGTTCAGATGAAATTGTTTTTCTTTAAGATTATTTATTAGGGTTGATTTGACATCAGCAACAACTATTTACATGGGCACATATTGAAAATTATCCTTATGGTTTCTTGAATGGTCAGTACAATTTCCAACCTAATCCAGGGAAATATAAGCAATTGGTGAGGCTTAGAATAAACAAACTTTCCAAAAATGTGGGGTACAGTTATAGGATTTTGCAAGGTCCTATAAACTTAATATAATTTCTAACAAACTTTATTTCAAGACAACCCATTACTGGTTATTGGTGAGTTGGTATACAACGACCATACCATACATCAATTTATAAACCACTACTCTAATAAAAAGCATTGCATTTATGCAATATTAACATAGTAGGTATGACAACATCATAGTTGGCTAAATTACTTGGTAAATTAGCAGAGATATATAAATATTGAATACAAGCTGTTATATAAACAGTTACTGCTACAAGCTATTATTGCATTTGTTTAACTATAGAATATTACAGTGACGTTTGCTAATGATAACAACTGTCGACTGCTTGGTAAATAACCCTACTATCACTAGCTCAGTTGCTGAATGACAGCCTTGTTGCATCACTGTTTTGGCCTGTTTCCTCACATTTCCTCAATATGTAGCTTAACGTTAGTTAGCCTATAGTAAATGTTAGCTAGTTAGATACCAACCTTAGTAAGATCGACACCAGACCCCACAATAGGCAGCCCGTCCTCGTCCATGTTGGATTTTAAACTTCCTGCAGTTAATAGAGCAGTTTCGGTACTAAAAGCGACACTGTTCACAGCAATAAGAGAGAAAACGTTGCTTAAAGATTTGCTGTGAAACGTTTCATGTGACTCTGGACGGTGTGAACGTCACGTGACGTGACGTCACGACGTTAGATTCCATGTGATTAGTGCTTTTATTTTGAAGTCTCGCTGACAGTCTGTTAAAAATAACAACATCCGGTCCCGTCTTTTAGCTACTTTATTTTATTTGGTCACTAAAAACATTTACCAGCCCTTTCGACTGCTTTATCCTTTCCGTCATCTGCCGAGGAACACTATGATTAAGTTGATATTCTTTCGAAAGAAAGAATACGTAGATTGTTTAGTTATCAAAACACTCCACCTAGGAGAACCATATGTGTAAAATGGATAACGATACATTAAAACTGATCAATAAAGTGCATGTATTGTGTCTAATCGTTGGGATAGCAAAGATAAATTGAATGACACAGCAGTAAAACACAGCTGAGTTGCAGGACTTTTATTTTGAAAAGAGGAAACGCAGTGAAAGAGTTGAGGAAACGGGTGCTTGCGTACCATCAGCGCATGTTAGCTAAAATAATCAAACAACAACATTTTACATATATTTCTTAACGCTACTGGAGACATATTGCATTAATGGAGGTTATTGGGTCAATAGAGAAAATAAACGGTACGTATATTTATAATTTTCTCCCTCTGCACTTAAAAGTAGGCTGTGTTTATGTTAGTCAGACAGTTAGCGGGACCCGTCTATTTAAAGGAATCATGACAGTCAGAAACTATTAGCTTGAAGCTGTTGCCTTAGGAATTGAGTTCATTTCTAATATTTTTAAATAATTACTATCAATAAGTACAGTTCTTTCTTTCGAGAGCTTAAGGACAACTACATATACTTGACCAATTTGCAAGATTAAAACTAACCAAAAATAGGTTTAAAATCCAGCATTTATACGGGTCCATATGCTTTTGGATCAAGGGATATACATAGATCCATCGGTATTTTTTCCATTGCTTTGAGTTAGCAAAATATTGTCTTTTATAATATGCCACTGGTGAAATAGCTTATTTCGGGAATATAACTTCAAAGTATTTAAAGTTAAACAAGTGTTTTTAAGTTTGCAAGTGCTCTCTTCAATAAAATGCACTTTAAAGCCCTCAGCAGACCATCTCTCAGAATAAACTTTTATGTTTTTCAGACCCAAGCCCACCTCTTTCATCTCTTCGCCTGCTGGTGCCCCCACTGCAGCTTCTGTCTGCTGCAATGTGGCAGCTGGCGAAGCAGAAAGATGTGATGAATTATGAGAAGCTGCAGGAGTTTGTGTTTATGGTGACTGAGGCAGTCCCTGAACTGATCAACCTCAGGCAGAGAGCCCAGCTCATTCTGGGTCTAAGAGCGAGGGTGAGCTGAAGTTTTGTATTATATCATAATGTTATTATGTATTTTCTAAAAAATGGTGCGATAAAAATTGGTTGATATTTCAGCTCATTCTGGAACATTGCAAAGATTCAGCTCGGGGGTCTGTTGATTCTCAATTGATCCAGAGATATTTGGATAGACTTCCAATTACGTCTGCAAACACAGATGTAAGTACAGCAAAAGAATATATATGTTTTAATACATAATGATAGGCCCTAAATGACATGAGTCCTATCTGTGGCAGTACAGGGATGCTGAGGTGCAAACAACAGAGTCCACTTTCATTGCACTTGTTCAGAGCCTGCTGAAAGATCCAGTTGAGAGAGCTTATTTCTTTCAGGTCAGACAGATTTATATAATATCTTATTTTAAGAATCCACAAAGTAGTCCTAACGTGAACTAACCTTTGATACTCTTTAACAGGAGGTGTTCCCAGTGGAGTATGGGCCACAATTTGATTCTGCTTTGCACGTGTTATTGTGGGAGCTGCTCTCAAAATTGGAGAAGCTGCTTCCAGTACCAGACTTGAAACAGGTATTCTTTGTGTCCATCCAGATGTGTCAGAATGTTTTCAACTGTAAATCAAGCGCTGACCACAATCTGTGTTTTCAGACTGTGACCTGGCTCGGCTCGGCTCCTTCTCTGTTGGAGAAATGTGTTCAGTCGTCACCTGAAGAGCTGGGCTTAACCTTCAAGCACTACAAAAGTTCGGGACTACTGAAAATGCCATGTGAGTAAAGCTGAAATGATTTTGTTGCAGTAGAGTCATCTTTTTGTTCAATTATCAAGCCAAATCCCAAACTTGTTATGGTTTCAGCATGTTTTTAGTTGTACAATCCAATGTAAAATCATCAAATCCCAATCCTTTTCTTTGCACATGTGTATAATATGTGCACCACATTTGATGTATAATCTGGGTTACTTATATAGGTTAGACATTTTAGAATGTTATATACTTGGCTGCCAGTTTTGACTCTTATTTTACGGAAGTTCCCAGAATTAATCCTGAGAAGTGCTTTTATATTTATGCAATATTAATATGTATCTAATGCAACTGAGTCCTTAAGAATCACATTACATTGGGAGCTTTTTAATTGCAAATCTGAATATCTATATTAATATCCAGCCCTATATAACATTGTAAATTAAATATATTTGGGTTTTAGACTGTTGGTCTAACAAACAAAAAACAATTTAAAGATGTCGCTTGGGCTTTGGCAAAGAAATCACATTTTTTATATATTCTGGTGTTTTATTGACTAAATAATTTGATGATAGATCGATAAAAGTCATGAAAAAGTATCTTTAAAAAATATTTGTTGTTCTTTTTAGATGGCCCTTCATCCACCATCGGTAGCTGCATCATGTCTGCTTTATCAATTCCTCCGTCGCAAAAGACAAACATCTCTGCTGGACTGGAATCAATCCACAACTACGCAAACATGCTACAGCCCATCACTTTAATTGGACTAGATGGTTACAGTTTTGTTGCCGTCTATACCGAAGAGGAAGTTCAAGCCTCTAAAGTAGATGAAGAAATGATCGAGTCAGCTGAAGTGCAAGTTCAAACTGACTTCTACGAGGAAGAGATAGTGGCTGTTAGCGCAGATAACGCCAGCGGTGAAGAGGCTACTAACTTGAGGGCGGAAGAAACAAGTGAGACTGTGGATGTCGCTAAAGCTCTGGACACCCTGACAAAAACGTTTGCCCTAAGGAAGGAGAGCCTCGGCCAAGATGTTGTTACAGGAAAAAGTAACGAGTCACCTTTTAATGATGGGCTTCAGTCAGGAAATGAAGCAGATGAAATAAAAACACATAAAACGAACGACAAAACAGCAAAGAAAATAGAAAATGTTGAAGAGGTGAAGGAGGATCTTCCTCCTGGAGGCATAGTGAGCAATATAAACCCTTTTACAGACTTGAATGATGACCATGAGTCTTCTGTCCATGAAGACATGGCAGATGTCCTCAGTGAGGCCTCTGAAACACAAGAGTCTTCTCCCGGCTCAGCTAATGTACGCCGATCCAATCGTCTACAAAAGAAGACGTCACCCAATTGTCAGGAGATGGATCAAATCCAGAGGTCATCCACGGAAAGCAGTGAAGAACCACAAAAGTACAAAAAAACATTTAGTATCTTTACTTTATAAGCTATAGATTTAAAACCAGATATAACTCTGTAATAGTTATTCCAACTTTTCTTTCAGTTGCGCTTTCAAAGCGGAATCATCCGTTGCCCCCTCTGTTATAGCCATCAAAGGAATTGACAAAGGTAATATTTTAACCTGAGAAACGTCTTTTAAATACATTTCCCATATTGTTTTCACATTTTCATCTTTTTTTTTAATTTACAGGTGATTCGGACGATATGACATCCATCATCTTCACGTGCTCTCAGTGTCCCTTCCACACGTCGGACGATAACAGCCCTGCTCACTTCCACATGCAGAGCGTTAGCACTGAAGTATACAGGACTCTCGCAGGAGCCAAAATGACTCCTTCTCCCTCCAGCACAGATGAAATATTTACATCCATTAAACTTTTCCCCAAAGGAAACACACAGGAGAGCAACGCAGAACAACCAGAAAATCAAAGCAAAGAAAATGTGACTCCGAGCAAGCAGAAGGCCCTTTCATGTAACACGTGTGGCAAGACGTTCACACGGCCGTCAGACGTGAGGAGACACCAGCTGACGCACACTGGAGAGAGGCCGTTCCACTGCTCCCAGTGTGACCGAACCTTCCAGCACTCGTGGGATCTGGCCAAACACGAGAATAAAAATCACGGCGCTGCCATTTCCTTCACCTGCCAGCTGTGCGGGAGCTCCTTCGCCAACCTCCGTGCCCTGACCGTCCACCATAAGAAGTCTCACTCTAAGGAGATCCAGCTTCCTCAGATCTGCTCCATCTGCAGTCAAAGCTTCGCCACTTCCTCCGAGCTTCACGAGCACAGGAAGTCTCACGTCACCAACAAACGCTACATCTGCCAGCAGTGCGACGAAGGCTTCGATTCCCTGCTTGCTCGCTCTCAACACCGAGAGATGCATAAAGTAAAGAGTGTGTTTAAGTGTCCGCATTGTGAGAAAACATACACACGGAGATCTGATGTAAAGAGGCATCTGTCCACACACACTGGGGAACGACCCCATCAGTGTAATCAGTGCAAAAAACGGTTCTCGCTCCGCTTCATGTACATGAAACACCTCCGCGTTCACACAGGGGAGCGGCCTTTCCAGTGCTCCCACTGCCCCAAGAGGTTCACGCTTGTGTCTGTTCTGGCCAGACACGAGAGGATGCACACTGGGGAGAAACCTTTCCTATGCTCTCAGTGCGGGAAGGGCTTTCTATCGCAGGGAGAGCTTTCAAAACATCACAGGTCGCACGTGGACGACAGGCCTTACTCCTGCGATCAGTGCGACAAACGTTTTAAGAGCAAGAAAACGCAGCAGGAACATATCGTCACCCACACCGGCGCCCGCCCGTACCCCTGCACCGTCTGCGGGAAGGGCTTCACCAAACCATACGCACTGACCAGACACAACCTCATCCACACAGGAGAGAGGCCGTTCCCCTGCACTCACTGCGAGAAGTCGTTCCTCACCCTCAGCGAGGCTCAGCTGCACCAGCGTATTCACACGGGGGAGAGGCCGTACCCCTGCAACAGCTGTGAGCTGAAGTTCAAGAGCTCGTCGGAGCTGGCGCGACACAAGAGAAGCCACTCTGGGTTGAAGCCACTGAAGCCGTACTGTGAGCAGTGCATGAAAACGTTTCCGTCTAAGGCCAAGCTGAAGAAACACATGGAGAAACACGTGGAAGAGGGTGAGGCAGCAAAGTCTGTAGACCCTTTACAGCCTAAGGAATCAAATCAGTAAATGAATAATGGAGACTGTCATTGTTTAAAAGGAGTGGACTTATGAATAAGAATGTAAACAGGATGCTTGAGTTCAAATAATAAGCTTTATCACATTTTATCAGGAGGGAAATGTGTCCGCAGCTACATCTTCACTGTACGGTCTTCCATCAAGTGTGGACATAGATTTGGTACAACCTTCTAGCTTTCATTACATTTTTAAACACATCATTTTAATAGATTAGTTTTTCATACAAGAATCTTTTCTCTATCATTTTCATTTTGCTTTAAAGATTGCAAATGGAGTTTGCAGAAGTTTGTTTGTTTGTTTGAAAAGAAAATTACAGGTGTTCATTATACACTCCATTTATTTCTGTTTTTCTCTGAAACATGATATATTGCATTTGTGAGGTGCACGGTTCAATTTCTGGTTTAAATGAATACAAAAAGAAAGCAAAAAAAGGGGACATCTACCGTCAATTATTTTTAAACCCAACCAACAACTCTTAATTGAATGATTTTGACATTAAAACCATGTGATTACAGTGAATTAAAAAATGTGCATGGTATACTCTAGACAACCCAGCTGCAACTAAAATGAAAACCTGTATCATGTTACGCAATAAAACATATCTTTTATAAAGTGTATATGTTGTGTTTCTGCTGAAGTCATAGTTTTCTGATTTGTAGTGCATTTTAATTGAGTGCTCCTAATGTTCCTCAATCTGGGGTCAAGGCAAGCCCCAAGATTAACAAGAATTGAAAAGCCAAACGTAAATATGATTATTTATTTCCGTCCCTCTAGCCCCACCATGTGGTTGACAGTTTGTTTTTCAGTGAAAAGCCTCAACGACTATAGGATGGATTCCCTCCAGCACTATTATCAGGTAAAACTTCAAATCTGTTTAATTTGTAAAGTTTGGTTTGTGTTTAAATACATAGAAACATTGTCCCAGCTGTACTATGTGTGTTATTGATGAATCTTAACATTTAGCAATTAGCTTGGTACATTGATTGACAACTGGTCTTGATTTAATTATTTCAGATACAAAATATTAACAAATATGGCAATGTACGAAGGAATAAGTACTTTTTGGTAGAACTGCTACAAACACTTGTCATATATGACCAAGACGGTCCCAGTAGTCAAGGCTTTCTTTTTGTACGGTCACAACACATGGATGGAGACTCTGAGGTATTGAGGTGTTTCCTAAATGTTGCTTTTGTTGTACCTGTTTCAAAAGGGCAATTCTCCAGCCACCAAAACAAAGGAGTGGATTCCCCGCACCTCTTCTCCACCCTGCTGTGTTTTCAAGGAGCTGCAGGCCTATTGGAGGTGCCTTTGAAATGTCATCATGCATGTGACAGGTGATGTATTTCTTCATTTCTGCCCTGAGTGCTCATAAAACCCAGTGAGCTGATGCTTATAGAGCACAGATTAATTATAAACACCATAAACATTGCCTCATTTCCTCTACAGATGGTTGCCAAGCAGGAATGACCTGAATAACACTGGATGCATCATTTAACAAAGAGTAGTTACAGTGTAGTCTAAAAAGACCGTCTATTTTTAGCATCCTTGTGTTTTGTGAGAAAAAAACATTTGCTAGTTGAGACAATCAAACTGTAGAATTGTCATGGTGTGAAACTAAATAGTGACTATGTTACATTTAAGGCTACCACTTTACAATAAGACTACCCTTATAAAGGGTTTACGAATAGTTTGTAATTCATTTATTAATTAGGTTGTGAACACTTTATAAATCATTAATAAGCTTTTATAAGACATGAGATAAACAGAGCAACTGTGACCGGTTGCTTGCCAAATAGTCCACATTTATCTGTACTGCTAATATTGGCTACTTAAAGGTGACCTATCATGCAAAATGCTCTTTTGTACGTCTTTTATACATGAATATGTGTCCCCGGTGTTCCAGCGAACTCACCAAGTGTCAGAAAACACAACCCTCTCTATTTTCCTTCATACCCAAATCTCTTAAAAAGGGGCTGCAACTGCAACGGATCTGATACAGACTGATCCAGATTTGAACACTTCTATGACGTCACAAAAGTGGCGCTACGGCTATTGGGCCAACTCCACCAATCAGGAGGAGACAGCCACGGACATTGCCGTTCGAAAGCGCTGGAGACGCTGTAGTACATATGCCAGGCCTGTAGATGGCGCTGTTCTCACAGAGTCAGCCCATGCAAAGACAGTGTTACATTGAGCAAAATGAGGAATGGCTAAAATGCATGATCTGTTTGGTATTTTGAAAAATAAAAAGTATAAATATGCCTTATATAGGTATGGTCCTACACTATATTATTAAAATATAGCATGATAGGTCCACTTTAACTTACTTCATCTTCTTCCTCAGCCAGCATCCTTGGTATCTGTTCACTGAGTTGATTCTCGCTAAGTAGCCAATATAAGGCTTAGTCATCTTACCAAATAGTGAGGCTGTGTTGATGCATGAAAACAATGTTAGAACTGGTTTATAAATGGTTCTTAATGATTCATAAAGTGTTAAAAACCTAATTCATAACATAATTATAAACCCTTTATGAATCATTTATAAGGGTAGTCTTATTGTAAAGTGGTACCCATTTCAGTCTATTTCTTGGGTCAGGATTCCACTTTTTTATTGTAAAAATGTTAAACGGATTAATTTGTGTTTTGTGGTCTTTATATATGTTTTTATGTAATTGACTTTTACATAGACGTCACGAAAATAATACATTTTCACATTCAATCCAAGAGCTCTAAACACTTGCTCCTACAGCTCATATTTTCATTTGTCGCTCTATCATTAAAGTCAATCATCAAGTTTTCACATTTCACAAAGACATTACAAAGGGATGTCTCCTCCACGCCGAGAGAGGGTGTGCATCGGCGGATATCAGGTCCTTTCCACTGCAATCACCTCTCACCTTGACCACAGCCTGGTGCAGCAGCGAGCAGCCAGATGTCTGGATGTTAATACCGTCGGAGGAATTCACAGAGCTGGTGACCATGCAGGTGGGACAAACGGCCGGAATAAACAAATAAATACGGTGGAGACAAGGGGGCTGTGGATGAAGATAACGGCGCGACGCGACACCCATCAACGTGATTTACAGTTTGGTCGGCATTGGTGGTGTTTATGGCACTTTAATAACCAGCCATAAAGAAGTGGGGTGGGGGGGTCTGGTGTTGCAGGAGAACGACAGTGAAGGCATTGATTGAGAAATAAAGGGAGAGGAGTGAATTGAAGAGAGAGAGGGGAAGATAAAGCCGAAGTCTGGATCATGAGCTCCGCACTGCCTTACGACTCGCTGTCAGCTCGGCCGAGTCCCAGCAGACAAGCTTTGGACTGGGAACACCAGCAGCTGGCTGTGCGACGACTGTCGTCTCCACGGGGTTTCGACCTGCTCTCCCCACCTCCTCTACCTCGTCGACCTTCTGCAATCCCTGGCTACCTACTGTCCACTTACCAAGAGCAGGAGGAGCAGCTCCACCAGCAGCAGCAGCGACTGTCCTTGTCTATGTGCTCGGACGGCTCGCTGGCGACCCCTGACCCTCAGCCTACGGGCACTGCTCCACCTTGCTGCCGCCCGGTGGGAGTCATGCACCTCCTGCGTCTGGCTCTCCTGGCCTTCAGCTGCCTCTTCTGGGCAGCTGGCTTGGCCATCTTCACCCTGGGTGTGTGGGCACAGATCTCACTGGCAGACTACATGCTACTGTCGGCCAATCACTACCCCAACGCCCCGCTCATCCTTCTGTTCACAGGGGCAGCCGTCACCACCTGGGGCTTCCTGGGCTGTCTAGGGGTGGCTGCAAACCTGCCCTGCGTGCTCAGGGCGTACGGGTTCTTTCAACTTACTGCACTAATAGCCGGTTTGGCAGCTGGACTCTCAGGTCTCTTCTATCGAGAAGACATTGCCGGAGGATTTCGCAGTGGCTTACATCGAGCGGTGGCCGGCTATACCAAGGATGAAGGCCGTGCCGATGCATTAGACAGCCTGCAGAGGGCCCTGAAGTGTTGTGGAGCTGAGGGTTGGCGTGACTGGCTCTCTTCGGATTGGGCCATCCAGCATATGACCTTTTTGCCCAACGAAAACGGCACCTTGGTGTCCCTGCCGGACAGCTGCTGCATGAGTCGCAAGGGCTGCAAGAATCGACCTCTATTGTTGGATGATGTTGAAGGAGTAGAAGCTGCAGGAATCCATCAACACGGCTGCTTCCGCAAAGTCTTCAGCTTGGTCAACGACAACGTCTTCCACATAGCCGCCACTGTGTTGGGATTGGCCTTCACCCAGATCGGAGGCATTGCCCTGGCTTGTCTACTGGCTAACAAAATGGCACCAAGGCAACACCGACGTGTTGTCGCACATTAATGGTCAATTACAAATAATTATGCAACTTAAACCAAGGATTGAACACATTGTAAATATGTATGATAGAGGATTTACAATGCCCTTAAAGAGTAAGAGTTGCAAAGTGTAGGAAGTTATTTTCGGCGCCCATGTTAACAGGATAACAAGTCTCGTTCATTTTCTGCATAGATCATGTTGGGTGTCTAGAAAAATCAACTACAACTCCTTTTGGGCCTTTCAAAAAGGAACATCAAATTACAGAGCTTTGGGTTTTGTTTTAGTGGCATCGCCAACAGCAAGCTTAAGCAAAATGTGTAGGACTCTGATCATGATGTCTGGTTGCATTGGCTCTTGCATGCACTCAACGGAGTCTCCCACAAGCTGCTAGCCTTACTGCTGTGAGCAGTAAAAATAGCAATATTTGTAGTTTATGCTCACTATGAAATGTTTACATTCATACTTGTATTTTTTGGGGGAGAGGCTTTGGAGGGAGGCCTGAAGTGGTTTTTGGTGATAGTTAAACAACTTTCAGATCTTGTGCTGCTAGTTACTTTTATTGGAAAATGGCTATCAATACTGGGCTTGGTTTGTTCGGTTGAATGCTCCAAAATCTGCTCCAACATTCATAGTTGTAAGGATATTATTAGAAGAACATGGGAATATAGTGGTAAATAAAACATCAGTACACAACTTAATCTTTTCAACTCTTTTGCACTCAGTGTTTGCCTGATCAGCACAATTTAAAAAAAGGGGTGAGGGTTGTGTCCATTTGATGCCTGCAAATGAGAAGTCTAACATCACAAATAGGGTTGGGAAATTAATAAGCTTAAGTTTTTAAATTTCAAAGCAGTACAACATGACTTTGCCCTCTGATTTGGTTCAGAAGTGTTCAAATATTGGCATGGATTATGCTTTATTGTATAGAATGTAAAGATGATGTGTTAAACTATTCTATTTTTAGGAGATCCTGAGATCTACATCTTGCCACCAAATGCACAGGAATGTTCACCAGCAGTTTTCCATCTCAGATCATTTAGTCTGTCTGTTTTAAGCAGATATTTTTATCTGCGTCATTTACTGTTCCCATCACAAAAACTACAATGTGTAAAATGGTGCTTTATAAGATAGCTTAATATTATATTGGTGTCTGTAGTGTTTTGCACTGTCTATACATCTGACACGCTGTAATGGTGAGGTGCTTTTGTAAGATAACAACTGCTTCAAAATAATTCCCTGTAGATGTACTTGTTTGCTTATTCAGAAATAACTCATGTTTTTTTATTCGGAAGCACAAAATAACTGTATATTGTGAATAACATATAACATTAAATGCTCAACTACATTGGCATGACACAGATGTTGTGAAACCCACTAGCTTAGTAGCATGAAACTCATCTTTAATATTAAACTCAAGTTGAATGAAATTTATATTTAAACCTTTATTAAGAAGCTCATGATAGCAGCCAGTTAGCCTTAGCATTATAAAGCCTAGCTAGTTAATGCACTAGTTAAGTGTGACAGATATATAGGCCAAATGTGTAATAAGGGGCTTTTAAGGGGTTGGGAGGTGGATTTTGTTATAATTAGACAGAGCCAGACTAGCTGTTTTGACCAGTTTATAGTATTTTAGCTACGCTAAGCTAACTGTCTGTAGCTTCACATCTAGCCATGGCTGCTATGTCTCACATGGGGGCCATTATTTATTATCAGAACTCTCCTATTCAGGAAACTTTTTGATTTCTCTTACATTGTAATGTATGATACACCTATTATTTGGTCAGTAGCTATAATGTATATGAATCAACAAGAGTGCAAACAAGCATGACTGAAACTATATGTCACCAATAAAAAAGAATCTTTACTATCACAGATATGATATCGATTTGACCAGGGATGAGAATGTCAAGGTAAATGCCCTTGGACATAGTAAATATATAAATAGCAATGGTATTATGTAATGATACATTTATGTATGTCAGTATGCAGACAATATACGGGATTAGTAAAGCCACATAAAAGTATGTAATGTCTAATAAACCTCCTTGTGAATCACTGAAGAGCACTTTTTGGGTTTTAATGCACATTTGTTCCTCTTAAAAGTGCAAAAGAAATGAAATCCCTCATTGTGACAGATGGCAGATTTGAACCGCCAATGGGCCTTTTAAAGACCTGAGTAAGGCTGTGCTGGGATTGTGCCAAGGTGGTAAATTCTCTGCGCTGGGAGTGGTCGATCCTCAATGAGACCTCTGGATGGGAAATTCTGAATTATGGCCAACTGAACGACATCTCATTTATACCACCTGAGAGATGGGTGATTAGATCCGACCTTGAAGGGAGACAACCGATACAGAAGCACTGCTGAGCGTGACAAAACACAACAGCGTGACCTAACATTGATTTGTTTATGGGCCTAAAACCATCAGCAATGCTACATAGCTACTGTAGATAATTATAATTCATCATAAAGATTACTTTAAAGCCAACATATATCCACTCTGGGTTGTGGCCTCCATATAATTACTTTTTCATGACCCTAATCTGGTATTGATTAGCCTACATTGTGCTCTAACAAGGCTTGTGGGTATATTCTGTCTGATTACACTGCCCTTGTTTAACCTAATTAGCCTGAGGTTCTCCACCAGCAGTGTCATCACATTATGTAGGAGATCTGAAATATGTTGGAACGACAATTTAAGTCAGGGAAACCACAAAGGGCTTTATGCTCCCAAGCCCTCTAAATAACATTGTGGGTTGGGTGCTTTAACATGCACTTGACTTGACTTCAGTTCTACCAAAACAAATGATCACCAGAAGGGACAAAAAGTTGAACAGTGGTGCAAATTATTGTCACCATCAGATCTCCACAGCTCCAAGTATGTCATAAAATTAGGAATATTAAGCGTCACATTGATGAATTCATAATGTTTTCTTGAATAGCCACCATTACAACCTTGAATTACATAAATACATATTATTTTCAAATATATTTAAACTCTCTACAACTGTATTAAAGCTAAGGGGTGTGTCATTAAAGCCTCATGAATCTGTATTCTTGGTTTTGCTGGTATCACTTTGAGGAAATAAACCGTAGCCTGGATAAATGTCCTATAGCTCGGGATTTAGCTTGGATATATGTCATTTTCCCTTAAACTGTTTTAATTGTATTCCGTTACATGTTTTAAGGAGTGGCTTGGAAGAACGGTATCCAGACAATATTGGGAATAATGTAAACCAAACCTTTTTTTAATCTTTTTTTATATTATTGTACACAGAGTAAAGTATAGACCTTTATCTCTTCTCTCCGCCTCTTTAAGTGTGGCCTGCATCTGAATCCTCTCGGTGCTTTGCAGTTTGAACAGCAGCCTGGACTCTGCCCCACATTATATTTGGCAATTCTCTCCACCACTCGCTGGACCGTCGCTGAGTAAAAGCCACGCGCTGCGCTTGGAAATGCATTTGTTTTTGCGCACAGAGACGTCTCCAAAATGGACTTAAAAACCGAACTCCTCAAGTCTATCTGGTACGCTTTCACATCGCTGGACGTCGAAAAATGTGGCAAAGTGTCCAAATCACAGTTAAAGGTAAGCAGGAATGTATGCAGGCAATTTAAGATCAGGAAACTGAGAGCGAGGTCCGTCCACTGGACACAAAAACTGACTTTAACTGTGATACTTTTTTCATTCAAATAACTTTTTGTGGCTGACAACAAGCCAAAACTCAACCATATATCGTTGTATTTACATCAAGTGAAATACTTGCTTGTACTGGGTGAATAAACATTGTAATCTGAGAACTGTTTCAACATAAACGCCCTTCAAGCTCACATGCGAGTTCAAATATTTGATAAAGCTTTTTTTCTAAATTGCGCATAACCTGATCAAACTGAAGGAGAAGCATGTGCCCAGTTTCAAGTTCAAAGTCCAATCTTTCTCTGTGGCACGGAAACATAAACAGTGACATAATACCAGCACTGTCAATGTATCAAATACAATGTAAGAGATAAAACAGCATTGATCTTATTTAGCCATGTTTCCCCTCAGCGAGTTTTCTTTTTTGTCTGTCATGTAGCTCCGTCCAGTCCCTACATGCCTGACAGATCCTCTGTAGAGAGAAGAATCCAGGGAAATAGCAGAAATATGTCCTGACATGCTTTGAACCAGCTGTCTGGGGTTGTGTGTGTATGAAGAAATCTGCTGAGCACAGAAAAAAACATTGAGATGATGTGTTTATGTGACTAATCACCTGTATATGTGTGTGTTCTTCAGGTGCTGTCCCACAACCTGTACACAGTGCTGAACATCCCACACGACCCGGTGGCTCTGGAGGAACACTTCCAGGATGATGACGATGGGCCGGTGTCTAATCACGGCTACATGCCCTACCTCAACAAATATATACTGGATAAGGTAGCAGTTATAAACAGGAATGTTTTATATGTTTTATTTTTTTCTGTGAATATATCGCATTTATACATTTCCCGATATATATATACATTTACATTTTCCACCCTGTTCTCTCTCCCATCACCCCATCCCTATCCTCAGTTAAATAGTTAATAAATGGACAAAATGATCATGCATTACATTTCATTTAGCGAATGCAATTATATAAAGTGACTTACAATTAGGTAAATCAAGCATGAAATCATCATAATAATCTAATCAAACAAATAAAGCACCTACATTGCCTCCATGTCTTGAGAAGTGCATGAATGGTCACCTATTGTGCAAAATCCACTTTTATGTCTTTTAGTCATAACCATGTGTTAAGATATTCGGAAAGTTTCAGGATCAAAGACTGCCAAGGCACACNTCTAAGTCTACAAAACACATGTAGACTGGATAAGCGTACTCCCAGGCCCCCTGGTCGTGGAACGACGGATCAGCTTTTTACTCTCGCAAGGATCCTGGAGGGGGCCTGGGAGTACGCTTATCCAGTCTACATGTGTTTTGTAGACTTAGAGAAGGCGTATGACCGGGTTCCCAGGGAGTTACTGTGGGAGGTGCTGCGGGAGTATGGGGTGAGGGGGTCTCTACTCAGGGCCATCCAATCTCTTTACTCCCAAAGCGAGAGCTGTTTCCGGGTCCTCGGTAGTAAGTCGGACCCATTTCCGGTTAGGGTTGGCCTCCGTCAGGTCTGCGCTTTGTCACCAATCCTGTTTGTAATATACATGGATCGGATTTTGAGGCGTAGTCATGGGGGAGGGGGTCTGCGGTTCGGTGGACTAAGGATTGCTCCACTACTTTTTGCAGATGATGTGGTTCTAATGGCTTCATCGGTCTGCGACCTTCAGCACTCACTGGATCGGTTCGCAACCGAGTGTGAAGCGGCTGGGATGAGGATCAGCACCTCCAAATCTGAGGCCATGGTTCTCAGCAGGAAACCGATGGACTGTCCACTCCAAGTAGGGAATGAGTCCTTACCCCAAGTGAAGGATCTCGGGGTCTTGTTCTAGAGTGAGGGAACAATGGAGCGTGAGATGGGCCGGAGAATCGGATTAGCGGGAGCGGTACTGCAGTCGCTTTACCGCACCGTTGTGACGAAAAGGGAGCTGAGCCAGAAGGCAAAGCTCTCTGTCTACCAGGCCATTTTCGTTCCTACCCTCACCTATGGTCATGAAGGAACGGTCATGACCGAAAGAACGAGATCGCGGATAAAAGCGGCCGTGATGGGTTTTCTCCGCAGGGTGGCTGGTGTCTCCCTTAGGGATAAGGTGAGAAGTTCGGTCATCCGGGAGGGACTCGGAGTTGAACCGCTCCTCCTTCGCGTCGAAAGGAGCCAGTTGAGGTGGTTCGGGCACCTAGTTAGGATGCCACCTGGGCGCCTCCCTAGGGAGGTGTTCCAGGCACGTCCAGCTGGGAAGAGACCAAGGGGTAGACCTAGGACCAGGTGGAGGGATTATATCTCTTTGCTGGCCTGGGAGCGCCTTGGGATCCCCCAGTCAGAGCTGATTGATGTGGCCAGGGAAAAGAAAGTTTGGGGCTCTCTGCTGGAACTGCTACCTCCGCGACCCGACCACGGATAAGCGGGAGAAGATGGATGGATGGATCGAGGTCAGTATTCAGCTTTACGAGTATTTACATTTAGATCTGTTAACAACTGAG